GCAAATTCGTAGGTTGTTGGGGAAATGGGGAGCAGCTGGAAGAAAAGGGAACAAAATGGACAGGTGGCAGAAGGAGATAGGCGGATGGGGTGTTAGGTTTTTCTATTAACTACCCGATTTATGTTGGGTGAGGGGACCACTTTTTTATTTTAATATTTCAGCACTTTTTTATTTTAAAATAGATGTGGGGTCTGCCTCAAGTAAAATAACATAAAATAGTTGAGGGTAATAATGAGAAAGAAAATAGAGTGGGTTAGTTAGAAAAAAAGTGGGGTAATGAGAATAGAAAATTTGTAAGTGTGGCAATAGAGAATACTTTCCTACATAACCACTAGGATAGAGAAAATAACCACTAAAACCAAGAACTTTAAAATTAAAACAAAAAAACCTCCAAAACATGTTTGAGTCAAAAAAAATCTTCAAACTTTTAAATATTGGTCATTTTAACTCTCATATTTTATTGACTTGACCATTTAAGAAACTCAAATAGTCAACTGTTAAACTCGATTACAAAACTAGACATCTGTTAATTATTTGACGATGTTGTTTTAAAAACTAATTAAATATTAATCAAACAACATCGTTTTACTTTTGTAAATACTTAAAGCATCTTATTCGTGAAACCATAACCTCTAATCGACTTCATCTTCCTCATTTCGAGTCAGAAAGATGAAGTCGATTTTGAAATCTAGTTTCGCGAAAGAGATGTTTTAAGTTTAAAAAAAACAAAATAACATTGTTTGACTAAAACTTTTAAAACAACAACGTTTACAGTGAATAGTTGTTTTAAAAACTTTAAAAAAACAATGTAAAAAAAAATTGTGTGTCTAAAATCAATTTTTATATAACAAATGTGCTATAGAATAACCATTGATTCTGCGATGAAATTAGAGTTGATTTTTCTAAAGTGAATAGTTGTTTCTTTGTTTAAATGTAGTGGACTTGGTTAGGATTCGTCCTCAATTTAGAGGGTTGCATTTATAATTTGAGGGTTATTAAATTTAGGTATATGAAGAAACTAAGAAATAAGAGTAATGTTTTATTGTTGACAAAAGAGTGATGTTTTATTGAATATGTTTTTGAATGAGGTCATTTAGAGAGGAGTTTTATTTTTAAAGGTTAAAATCATTAGTTTCATATGAGCATTGTTAGCCCTGCACATATTATTGGGAATCTAAGTTCTGAAACGGATCCGATCAACATAGATATCCAAATGATACATAATTTCTATGTTCAAAGAACCAGATCTGAATCCAAAAAATTATGAATACTCAAAAATATCTGAAATATAAATATATTTAGAAATATTAGTTATATTAACAATTATAAGAGTTCAAATATTATAAATTATAATTCTAAATGTGAATATATTAGATGTCTTTTGGATAATTTGGATATTAATTATTTTGAAACTTACAATAATATATTATTTAAAAATTATTATATAAATATAATAGTATATAACTAAATTTTGTTCATGTGCTTTATACAAAATATGCTATTAGAAATTTTGCAATTTTAGTAATTCATTAAAGATATTAATGAAAAATCTATTTTAATTGGTGGAAGCACCGTGACCTAGTGGTCAATGGTCTAAAGGTTTCTACGCCCATGTTTGGGGTCCAAACTCCGGACTATGCAATTTCTAGGTTTCAATTTTTGGAGAAAGTGAATTATACCAAAAATTGGAGAAATGGATTACAAGAGATCTTCAGCATAGTCCAAGGAGTACTGTCAGGATTGGATCTCATAAGGCAACTTCGGGTAATGCAGTCAGACGTGAGTGAATCCGCATAAGGCAGGTAGAATTGTCGGTTGTTATATCGTCTGTGTAATGTTTCTCATAATTTGTAGCAAAATTAACCAAGCAAAAAAAAGAAAAATCTATTAACTATTACTTTAACAAAATATGATGAGAAAACTACAAAAATATTACCAAAAAATTCCTTTCTATAGTTTATATAAATACTTTAAAAGTTTATTGTATGCAAGCAGTATAAATTAAAAAAAAAACATATTTTGAAGGAGATTTCTATTTGATTATACTTAACTCGAAAATACATCAATGTAATAACAAAGTAAAATGTAGAAAATAAATTATTATATATTAATAATTTCAAATAAGAAATATAAACAATAAGATTATAGAATTATATATTAGAAAACAAGCATACTAATGATTGATTTGGAATCACTACAATTTAGGAATGTAAAATATCTATCTCATTAGCTCTATTTGTAATACTGTAGTCTAGAGTTGTATATATTATCGTAATGTACATGCTTTAGAGATATATGAAAACACATTCTTATATGGTATCAAGAGCCACACGATCTCATAACCAATTTTTTCTTTGCTTTGTCAATCATGAGTTCTTATGCAAACAACTCTCCTCCTGTTGTTACTGACAACATCAACACCACCACCCAAACGCTGCTCACCATTACTATGTCAAACGTGACTAAGCTCACTTCGACCAACTATCCCATGTGGAGCTTGCAGATCCATGTGTTACTTGATGGATATGACCTTGTGGGTTATCATGATGGTCCTATCATAGTACCATCTCCTACCTTAACCGATGAAGATCAGATCTTGGTGAATCCGACGTATACTCTTTGGAAATGTCAGGATAAACTGATATACATTGCCTTTATTGGAGCGATCTCACATTCTTTTCAGCCGATTGTCTCTCGAGCCACGACATCCTTTGAAGGATGGAGCACACTTGCCTCCACCTATGCTTAACAAAGCCGGGGTCACATCAACTAATTCAAAACACAACTGAAGAATGGAAAAAAGGAGAACAAAACAATAGATGTTTACTTACAAGGTATTATCACGGGCCTTGATCAATCGGCCATTCTTGGCAAATCGTTTGATCATGAAGATCAAATAGATCTCATCCTTGAAGAAAGTCATTGACCAAGTTGAAGGAAGATACACATCTCCTTCCATAACTGAAATCCATGAGCGTCTTCTCAATCATGAAAGCTAAACTCCTCATTTCAAGTGATGTAATCATTCCTCAAACTCATGTAACTGTTAACGCTGCTCAATACCGTAACAACAACACTCACTGCAAGGGTCAGAACAAGCAGCAAAACAACAACCAGTGGCAACATCAATCAGTCAATCAACCATGGCAACCATCTCAACACTCTCAGTGTCAGGATACGAAAGGACCAAGACCATATTTATGTCGTTGTCAGATATGTGGCACACAAGGTCACATTGCGAGACGGTGTGCTTAAATCCAGAGTTATTAGGCTGGCACTTATCACCAACAAACAAGTATTTTTTCTTTATGGAATCCAAGAGCTAATGTCACGGTTGCTTCTCCTTACAATGCTGCGAACTGGTTGATGGATATGGGTGCTACACATCACATAACATCTGATATTGGCAACCTATTGATATAATCACTGTTGATCTCGTCCCAATCTCCTTGAAGGTGGATGAAGGATGTGTTGACTTAGAAGGCTACTAGCTCTCCTTAGGTTGGATGGATTCTTCTCACAAGGTTCTGGATTACCAAGTGATGCTTTGATGACCAAACTCACGAATGTAACCTTGTCTACTTAGGCTTTATTAGACACGTTTGGATGGTTCCTCAACCCTATGATCGTGACTTGCTCAAAGATGAACAAAGGTAACAAGAACTCAAGAGATTTCTAAGTATAAAAGCTTTATTAAGTGATTGTGTTATCTTTATCTTAGATAGTACATAGGTTTATATAAGAAAGCCATAGAATATTAAAATAAAAAACCTAGCCGCCCTCTTAAAGAGTAAACAACACCATCGACCTTATGATAAAAGGAAAACATTAAGAAAAATGGAAAACTAGTCCAACCCGAACAAAATGGAAAGTTGAACCAAAGGGGAGGCGCTGAGCTTTGGCTTGATCCTTATTCTTTGTCTGATTGAGTTAAAGTCCTAAAAAATTTGTTCCGATGCTTGAATCTTGACCTGGTCATAGCTCCTTCAAAATGGCAAACCGGGTCGATATTTTCTTTTTGGGCGAGAAAAGGAAATCTTGTCCTTCTTTCTATTGGAACGGGATGGAGCCCACAGGTTGAGAGAGCGAGCGTGAGTGGCCCATTATGTGGGTGGTCGAGGCGTTACAAGTGATATCAAAGCTTATTAGCCATCTCCGTCCTGACCCGCTAGGCATCTTGAGACTTGTCGTGGAGCGCAAGGACGTTGTGTTCTTTGAGAGGGGGTGAATTGTAACATCCCCAATTGTGATATGTGGAAAAAGGCTTAAGGGAATTGATTATGCTACCTATATCACCAAAGTTCACTTTTTTTTCGTCACACATCCGTTTAGAACTCCAGGGTTAAGCGTGCTTGGGCTGGAATAATGAAAAGATGAGTGACCTATCGGAAAGTGATTTGCGATACCGTGTGACTGAGACCAAAACACGAAGAAAGATCGGATGGTGATTGCACTGTTAGTAGACAAGAATTTTGGAACTTAATAAAATTAATGAACATACTGTTGGAACGGGATGGAGCCAACGTCTCGTGAGCGGTCAGAACGTTACAGAAATTGTATTCACAAACACTAGTGTGCAGGGGCCAGTGTGTTACAAGTTACAAAAACTCCTTCAATTTATGAACTGTTGGTCTTGGAACGCATCTAAAATATTCGGTTCTTAACCAGAAAACCCTAACAAATGTGAGTTTTCTTTTAAAAAAAAAGGGGGGGGGGAATCTAAATCTACCTATTTATTTCCAATAGTCATAGAGAGACAATAGATATCCCTTCTAATTACTTCACTACCGAATGGTCTCCTGATTTCTAAACCAAAAGCCCAAAAAGACTCGTTGATTTGAATGTGTTAGGTAGAGGCGTGAAGTTATGGGTCCCTTAATTTCCTATTTATTATTACCTATTTTTATTTATCTAAAAAATTATGTGAAGTATTTTACTTACATTTGTTTCCCTCAGATAATTTTCTCCTATATTTTAAAAGAAGATGCTTTGTTAACAACAAAAAAAAAAAAAAAAGTAAGAAGAAGATGCTTTCTTTCCTTTTGGAGCTTTATGCAACGTTCTGGGTTTTAAAGCTTTTAGTTTTATCTTCTTTTTGACACATACCGACGAAGAAGAAACTGAACCATTTTCTCACCATCTCCACTCTCTCTCTTCTCTTTTCCGCCGCCGTAACGGCCAAAGGGTTCCGACCACTCCACCTTGAACTCTTTTGTCGGCTCTAAAAAAACGAGAGTAACGAGAAAGGCGAAACTCGATTATTCAGATCTCCATTTTGCCTTACCCGCCGCATGTCCAAAAGTTGAAAGAAAGAACAAACTATACAGCTCCTCCTTCCATCTTCATCTCTCACTTGCAATATTCGTTTCCAGAAGCTACATTTTCGCCAATGTAAGCACCTTAATCGAGCTTTCCGACATCCAAAAAACCATCTTAGCTCTTTCTTCGTCGTATCTGTATGATTCACATATGCTTCGGTGCTAACTTATAAAGTAGATTTTGTGTGTCGGCAAGATTTGCTTGACCTTATTATTGTCTTTCCTTATTTAGTAATCTACTTTTTAAGACAATGCATCTAAGAAGACCTCGTCGTTTTTTTCTCATTCAGGAAACACTTTTGTCTTTTCCTTCTTTTAAATCTTACTTCAGATTTAGTAGGGTTTATTCAGATCTAGTTCGCTTGTATTGTGAAATAAACTTAAGTTATGTCTTGTTTTTGGTCCTACAATGTCACATCAAGTCTAATCTTGCAGTGCTTACACTGATAGTGTGAATAATTTTTATAGTTTGCTATGGACCGACGAAGTTGGCCGTGGAAGAAAAAATCATCTGATAAAACAACCTTAGTGGTTGATTCTGCAGCTGCTGATACTTCACATTCTCAAGTTGAAAAGGTGAACTTTTAACTCTTATTTTTGAGTCTGATGAAACTTTTATTGTTACTAGAATTGTTGAGTTGGTTACTATATATTTGGAAACAGGATGCTGTTAAGAAGCCAAAGTATGTGCAAATCTCTGTGGAGCAGTATACACATCTCACAGGTCTGGAAGAGCAGATAAAGACATACGATGTTGAGATTAAATCTTACGAGAATCGAGTTGAAGCTTATGAGGATCAAGTAAAAAGCTTTGAAGAACAGATAAAAACACACGATGTTCAGATCAAATCTTACGAGAGTCAGGTTGAAGCTTACGAAGAGCAAGTAAAAAGCTTTGAAGAACAGATCGAGGCGTACGATGAGCAGGTTCAGAGTTATGCTGAACAAGTGGAGAGACTCAACGAGGATATAGCTACCAAAGAGGCTTTAGTGAAGCAACATTCCAAGGTTGCTGAAGATGCTGTTGCGGGTTGGGAGAAAGCTGATGCTGAAGCTTTGACGTTGAAGAACACACTTGAATCTGTCACTCTCTCTAAACTCACGGCTGAAGATCGTGCAGCGCATTTAGATGGTGCGTTGAAAGAGTGTATGCGGCAGATACGGAACTTGAAGAAAGACCATGAAGTGAATCTGCATGATGTTGCTTTGAGCAAGAGTAAGCAGATAGAGAAACTAACAATGGAGTTTGAGAAGAGGCTCTCTGACTATGAACAGGAGCTACTAAGGTCTGCAGCTGATAGTGATGCCTTATCCAGAACTTTACAAGAACGGTCCAACATGCTAGTGATGATTAGCGAGGAGAAGTCACGAGCTGATGCTGAAATCGAGACATTGAAGAGCAATCTTGAAATGTGTGAAAAGGAGATAAAGTCTCTCAAGTACGAAGTCCATGTAGTTTCTAGAGAGCTGGAGATACGCAACGAAGAGAAGAACATGTGTATTAAATCTGCAGATGTTGCCAACAAGCAACACTTGGAAGGAGTGAAGAAAATAGCTAAGTTGGAAGCAGAATGTCAGAGACTTAGAAGTCTTGTGAGGAAAAAGCTGCCAGGACCAGCTGCACTTGCTCAAATGAAGCTTGAGGTTGACAACTTAGGCGGAGACACGAGACCAAAGAGATCTCCGAGCAAAGCTTCTAGTCCATGCAAGTCTCCTAGAGGATACTCATCTTCTGGTTCTGACTTTTCTGTCGATAATTCACAGAAATTACAAAAGGAAAATGAGTTTTTGACAGAACGTTTGCTTGCCATGGAAGAGGAGACAAAAATGCTTAAAGAAGCCTTAGCAAAGCGGAATAGTGAGTTGTTGGAGTCACGGAATCTTTGCGCTCAGAGCACTAGTAAGCTTCAAAGCTTGGAAGCTCAACTGCAGCAAAACAATTCCCACAAGTCCTCACTTGAAGTGTGTCCAAATCTGAATACGAGCAATCCATCAAGTTCAGTCTCTGTTTCTGAAGATGGGAATGATGATTCCGGAAGTTGCAGCGGATCTTTGTCAACAACTCCATCACAACAGACCAAGAAAGAGAAGGAGATGGCAGCACTACAGAGGGTTGAAAGTGTTAGTAGTCATGTGGAGCTTATGGATGATTTTCTTGAAATGGAGAAGTTAGCTTGTTCAGGTGACCAAAATTCAGAACTGGTGAATGTTGAGGAGTCTGATAAAGATAGTCCAGCAGTGATGGAATTCAGAACTAGATTATCAAAGGTTCTTGAATCTGTATCTTCTGATGCTGACTTGGGGAAGATTGTGGAAGATATAAAATGCATTTTGCAAGATGTGAATGTTTGTATGGACCAGGATAAGCCTTCTGATGTGCAGGTTCATCCTGAAGAAGTGGCAGAACAAAATATTCAGAGCGTTCACCAAGATTTGAAAACTGCTGTTTCTCGGATTCATGATTTTGTTTTGTTGCTAAGAGAAGAGGTAAGGACAGGTAAGGCCTCCATGACCGAAGGAAATGATTTCGTTGAACTGATCAATGGCCTTTCCATCACTTTCGACCATGTTTTAAATGGTGAGAGAAAATTGGATGATTTTGTCTCGGATCTTGCTAATGTCTTCAACGAGGCCATGGAGCTAAAGGTAACCTTCAGAGGTCTTGCTTCCTCTGAGGTTGAAATTGTGAGTCCAGATTGCATAGACAAGGTTGCGTTACCCGAGAGCAAGGCTGTAGATAAAAATTCATCTAATGAAATATATCAGAATGGATGTTCTCACAACGAGCCAGAGGTTCCCTGTGATCTGAGGTATGAATCAGGCTCCAAGTCACAGGAAATAGAAGAACTGAAATCAGAAAAGGAAAAGATGGCAGTGGACATCGAGGAGCTGAAGTTTCAGTTACAAGAATCTGAGAAGATGTTAGCTGAGATTAGATCACAGTTAGATTCTGCTCAGAGGTCAAACAGGCTTGCGGATACGCAACTCAGATGTATGACTGAGTCATATAGATCACTTGAAACACGTGCAGCTGATTTAGAGATTGATGTGAACCAGCTTAAGGAAAAGGTAAGGAGTTTAGAAAATGAGCTTGAGGATGAAAAACGCAACCACCAAGAAGCTATTATGAGGTGTCATGAACTTGAAGAACATATTCAAAGGTGAGAGCAGTTTCAGCTTTACAAAAATGTGATCCAGTTTAGTGTTAATTAGCCTGGATGTTTACTTACTTTTTAGCCTATATATTTTTCCCAGAAACATAAACAATTCTTTGGTTGCTGAGGATGAGGAAGAAGCTGACATCAAGACCAAACAGGTGATGTTCTCAGAGTCTTTTATTCATTGCAAAACATGTTTTACATTTTATAAGCTTGGTTTCTTTTCTGCATTTCAATTCGTAGCTCTAGATTCTTGATTTAAGTAAATTTGAACTTATCCTGCATACATTTCAGTAGAGTCTGCACAAAAAAGAAGACTAACATGACATTCTGTACAGGAGAGAGAGTTAACGTCAGCAGCAGAGAAGTTAGCAGAGTGTCAAGAAACCATATATGCGTTGGGGAATCAGCTGAAGTCATTACAGCCACCACAAAGACAGAGTAAGTCCTATTCTGAGGATGAACTAGGCAGCAAGAACTACGCCTTGGACGAAGGAGATTCACCTGACACTTGGGTTAACGACGTCCCTAAATTTATGGAATCTCCAAAATGTCCTTCTGATTCAGAGACTAGTGATTTGATGACATCGCCATCACGTGTGGGTTCAAGGCTCCCAAGGTCAGGTTCATCTGGTAATCCAACACCAGAGAAAAGCTCCAGAGGAATCAGCAGGTTCTTCTCCTCCAAACCAGGGTATTAGCTTTTTAAACAAAAGAGAGGAGAAGAAGAAACTGTGTATGTGTACATGACGAAATGTGATCAAATAACACTAGAGAATACATTCGTGTGGGCTCTTTTTGTCAGCGTTTACTTTACTTGTTTTTATCTAACGCCGTGTGCATTTTAATGTTTGATGTTTTTTTTTTTGAACAACAATATGATCATTCAACAGCAGGAGAAAATGTTCATTACAACATATAGTAGAGCTAGACAACAGAGCCGATTTTGCAAGAGAATCGGTGATACCATTTAGCTCACGCTGGATAAAAGTAAGGGTTTATTTCCCAACTAACCATATATTGAACATAAATTAAATAAATGTCAATCATTTTGTCATAATATAATGTCAGACATTTACTCCATATATTATCCGGTTTTGTCTCTTCACTTAACAAGTGAAAACAACAAACTTTCATACACAGCGGTCATATGCAAGAAAGGAAGAGCATCAATGGAGAGCGAAGTCTCCTTCTTCGCATCGTCAGCAGGGGCTTGACCCGGTCTTTCATCGTGGTCATGTGACGCATAAGCTCAAGGATCATGCAGCAAGGACATCTAACATTGACGAAGAAGTGGAGGTGAGACAAGAAAGTACAGATAAGGAGGTTCTGCATAACCTATCAGTTCCTACTCTGCAGGATGGTGCTGCTGCAGGTTCTCTTAACAGAAATAGGTCTGCGAGTAGACACCGTCATAGGGACCTGTTTCCGGAAGAGAGCAGGAGCTCCCAGTCCTCTAGCAATGACTATAAACTGAGTCAAGTGCCTCGTGATAAGTCAGCGATGCGGATGATTGGAAGTGTGAGCAACAAAGAACGCCAACATGGTTCTTATGACCAGCTTGCAAACAGCAGTGATGATGTCACAGAAAAGAATCCAGTCCGACACCAAAGCCATACTGATTATGCAAAGGAGGCTGGCGCATCAAAGAATTCTGATGGGGAGAAAGGGTTTCGAAGGAAGGCTGGCGCATCAAAGAATTCTGATGGGGAGAAAGGGTTTCGAAGGAAGGCTGACGCAATGGCTCATCCGGTCATCATCCCGGCGATCCAACAACGGAAGAAACTAGCAAGCAAGATTACTTCCCCGGATATGCAGGCCAATGTTACGCTTCGTGATAGAGGTGTGATGCGTTCTTTGACGTATCCCATGCAGGCTGTTGACATGGAAAATGATGATCCAGGAGTTATTGCTGCTCTGACAGACATGGAATTACCTTTAAACAAAGATGTGGAAGGTTTGGATGAGGAGGATGATCTTTTTGATGAGGAGTTAATGGAGTTGGAAATTCCAAAGGAGAGGCATATTCCACATCATAAAGAGACCGCTAGGAGCTCAAGAAGTGTAAAGGGTTCAAGGAGTGGAAACAGAAAAACTCCAAAGAAAAAAGATGTTCTACGCAGGGGGTCCCCGCGGCTGAGAGTCCTAAGCTCTCCTGGCCATAGGCAGTCTGGCGATAAGGGCAACACTCGGAGTTCCAGTCATAGAGCTCGAATGGATAGATTAAAGTTTCACAAAGAGGATGGTTCGATGGGGTCCAAAAACCCATCCTACGCTCATCCATGAAGACACTCAGTTGGAACTGTCGAGGAATTGGGACTGACCTCACAGTTCGACGCCTTACGGAGATGTGTCAGAAGCATCACCCAGGACTAGTGTTCCTTTCTGAAACAAAGAATAGGAGGCTGCTGTTGCAAGACATTCAGGCCGACTTAGGATTTGATCGTTTGTTTACTGTTGAGCCAAATGGGCTTAGCGGTGGTCTAGCTTTATTTTTTATGGATGATTTTCACGTTAAGGTGTTATTTTCGAATAATAGAATGATTGACATTGAGGCAGTCATTGATGGAATAAAAGTCTATATGACATTTGTTTATGGTGATCCTATTGTAGAACGAAGAGAATTAGTTTGGGAACGTCTTACGCGTTTCTCAACAACAAGAGATGGACCATGGTTTATGATTGGTGATTTTAATGAGATTACCTGTCATGAAGAGAAGGTAGGAGGTAGACAACGTACGGATAGTTCTTTCCTGCCTTTCAAGCAGATGCTTAGCGATTGTGGCATGCTGGATTTTCCTTTCACAAGAAATATGCTTTCATGGGTAGGACGAAGAGCAGGAAATGCAACTGTTAGATGTCGTTTGGATATGGCTGTAGGGAATGAGAATTGGCATGAGAAATTTCCTCATTCGAAAGTTCAGTATCTGAGACTCTGGGGTTCGGATCATCGTCCAATCCTGGCTGACATTCTGAAAAAGAAGCCACGAAAATCGAAAAACTTTAAATTTGATAAACGTTGGCTTCAGAATGAGGAACTCAGGCAGATTATACTGGAGGGATGGAAATCTCCAGATTTACCACCAGGGGCAAGTATTATGGAGCACATTATAAGCTGCAGACGGGCGTTATGTGATTGGAAAAGACAACATAATCTGAACTCAGAGAAAACTGTAGAGGAATTAAAGGAAAAGGTGGATCGGTTATCCTCCAATGATGATGCCACTACGGAAGAGATAGCGGAGGCTTTAAAAGAATTGTCTAATGCTCCTAAGGCGGAGGAATTATTCTGGAAGCAGAAGTGTAGGGTGTTTTGGTTACGGGAGGGAGATCGGAACACAAAATTTTTCCATGCTTTAACGAAGCAGCGAAGAGCGAGGAACATGATAACCCAACTTCTCGATGCAGAGGGAAACGTAGTGGAGGATGAGGATGGACTGGTAGCCATTGCTACCAGTTATTTCCGACAAATCTTTCAATCATCAAACCCTGAGGAGATTGAGGAGGCACTTTCAGAAGTAACCACTACAATTACACCTGCAGATAATGAGGGGCTCATAGCTCCAGTAACAGAATGGGAAGTGAAACTAGCCCTGTTTGCAATGCATCCTGAGAAAGCTCATGGACCCGACAGAATGACAGCTTTGTTCTATCAAAATTTTTGGGATATCGTTAAGGATGATTTAACTCGTATGGTTAATGATTTCTTATTTCAGGGCACTATTCCAACAGGGCTCACTGATACTAATATATGCCTTATCCCAAAAGTGGAAAAGCCAAATCAGATGAGTCAACTGCGACCCATCAGTCTTTGCAATGTTTGCTACAAGATTATATCCAAGGTTTTATGCCAAAGACTGAAAAAGGTTCTTCCAGATAGGATTTCTGAAACCCAGTCAGCCTTTGTTGCTGGAAGACAGATATCAGATAACATAATGATTGCCCAGGAATTATTTCACGCCTTAAGGACAAAACCAAGTGGGCGCAGCAAGAGAATGGCTATAAAGACAGACATGAGTAAGGCATATGATCGTATGGAATGGTCTTTCATTGAAGCCACCATGAAGAAGATGGGTTTCTCTGAGATCTGGATTACTTGGATTATGCGCTGCATAACGACGGTGAAGTATAAGGTACTCATGAATGGACAGCCACGAGGAAATATTGTCTCGGAGAGAGGCCTCCGTCAGGGGGATCCTTTGTCCCCTTTCATTTTTATTCTATGCACGGAAGCGCTCGTTAGCCTTCTTAATCACGCAGAGAATCAGGGAAAGATAACGGGGATGCGCATCACGCGTGCGTGTCCTTCGGTGTCCCACCTGCTATTTGCTGATGATAGCCTGTTCTTCTGTAAGGCGGAGCCCCGTGAATGTGAAGAAGTAATGAAAGTGGTTACAAAGTATGGGAAGGCCTCTGGGCAGTGCATCAATTTCGATAAGTCTTCGTTACTCTTTGGTAAGAGGATCAGTCAAGAGGTAAGGCAAGAGATTAAAGATACACTTGGGATACAGAATGACACAAGAATGGGAACCTACCTAGGGATACCAGAGGACATTAGTGGCTCAAAATGCAAGCTGTTTGTTTTCTTAAAAGACAAACTCCGGAACAGAGTGAATGGATGGACTGGTAGATGGTTGTCCAAAGGAGGAAAATAAGTTATGATCAAGTCGATCTTGTTGGCTCTGCCAACATATGTTATGTCTTGTTTCTTGCTCCCATTGGAGATATGTGACGCCTTGGCTAGTGCCATTGCACAGTTTTGGTGGAGCTCAAACCCACCAAAGAGAGGCTTACACTGGACAACATGGGATAAGTTATGTAAGTCCAAGGAGGAAGGTGGAATTGGTTTCAGAATGATACATGAGTTTAATCTCGCATTACTAGGGAAGCAGCTATGGAGGTTGGCACAAAATCCGGACTCACTGGTTGCTCGTGTTATGAGAGGGAGGTATTATAGACAAAGTTCGCCTTTGCGAAAACACTCTGTTAGTAGCCCATTGTATGTGTGGACAAGCATCTCAGCCGCACGTGAGCTATTGCTATTGGGGATTAGACAGAAAATCCATTCAGGGTATGAAGTTAAGGCTTGGGAGGATCCATGGATTCCCACAATCCCAGCAAGACCAGCGCATGCGTCAGCTCCAGTGTTGAATCCAAATATGCGAGTGAGCGATCTTATCAATCAAGAAACAAAGTCTTGGGACCTGGACCGGCTAGCGCTTTATGTTGACACTGATGACATACCTCTCATAAGGAGTATGGCAATCAGTTCATCCCATCGAAGAGACACACACTGCTGGAGTTACACCAGGAGTGGGCAATACACTGTGAAGTCTGGTTATTGGGTAGCTCGTAATATTCTGATGAAGGAGGAGGATAATTTGGTAGATAAACCTAGCTTTAAAAGGCTTCAAGCACAAGTTTGGAAGGTTAAGGCACCCCCGAAGATGTGTCATTTTATGTGGCAAATCATTTCGGGACAGGTGGCTGTTACAAGCGCTTTGAATCATAGACATGTGAGATGCGATAACTTCTGCCCACGGTGCGGAGAACCGGATGAAACAATTGCACATGCAATTTTCCAATGCCCACCGGCTTTACAGGCATGGGCCTTATCATCTATACCTTCCAGCTCGGCTTTGTTTCCCTTGGAAAGCACCTACGCGAATATGGATTATCTATTCTGGCGGAAGAAAGCCATCCATGAGCCAGAACTAGACAAGGATCCTTATCCTTGGCTAATATGGTACATTTGGAAGGCTCGGAATGACAAGTTATTCAGAGGAATAGATAGAGATCCGTTGGAGTTGGCCCGATATGCAGAGAGCGAGTGTCTTGCCTGGTTCCAAGCCAATGAGCAGGGTGCTGAGGTTACACACGAAGATGATAATGCAGATCCGCAGGCCA